TCAGGCACCTTTTAAAATTCTGCATAATCTTCAGTCACCCCATTCTAAAATGTAAAAACTAAGTGAATAGTTTCACATATCGCATCAGCATCCACACATGTAAACACCCAACATTAGAGGTGATCTATTCTTATGAAGCACAGTGGCTTAATGGTTAGCACTTCCGCCTGGCAGTACTAGGGTCGTTGGTTTGAATCCCAATCACGGTGCCACCTGTCTGGAGTTTGCATGTTCTCCCTGTGCCTGCGTGGGTTTCCTCCAGGTACTCCAGTTTCCTCCAATGCTCCAAAGACATGCTGGTAGGTTAATTGGATCCTGTCTAAATTGGCCCTAGTATGTGTATGAATGTAAGTTAGGGACCTTAGATTGTACGCCCCTTGAGGTTAGGGACTGATTTGAATGTACAATGTATATATAAAGCACTGCATAAATTGATGGCACTATACAGGTGAAACTCGAAAAATTACAATATCGTGCAAAAGTTCATTTATTTCAGTAATGCAACTTAAAAGGTGAAACTAATATATGAGACTCATTACATGCAAAGCAAGATAGTTCAAGCCGTGATTTGTCATAATTGTGATGATTATGGCTTACAGTTCATGAAAACCCCAAATCCGCAATCTCAGAAAATTAGAATATTGTGAAAAGGTGCAATATTCTCGGCTCAAAGTGTCCCACTCTAATCAGCTAATTAAGCCATAACACTTGCAAAGGGTTCCTGAGCCTTTAAATGGTCTCTCAGGCTGGTTCAGTAGGAATCACAATCATGGGAAAGACTGCTGACCTGACAGTTGTGCAGAAAACCATCACTGACACCCTCCATAAGGAGGGAAAGCCTCAAAAGGTAATTGCAAAAGAAGTTGGATGTTCCCAAAGTGCTGTATCAAAGCACATTAATAGAAAGTTATGTGGAAGGGAAAAGTGTGGAAGAAAAAGGTGCACAAGCAGCAGGAATGACCCGCAGCCTGAAGAGGATTGTCAGGAAAAGGCCATTCAAAAGTGTTGGGGACTTTCACAAGGAGTGGACTAAGGCTGGAGTCAGTGCATCAAGAGCCACCACACACAGACGGATCCTGGACATGGGCTTCAAATGTCGTATTCCTCTTGTCAAGCCGCTCCTGAACAACAAGCAAAGTCAGAAGCATCTTACCTGGGCTAAAGAAAAACAGACCTGGTCTCTTGCTCAGTGGTCCAAAATCCTCTTTTCTGATGAGAGCAACTTTTGCATGTCATTTGGAAACCAAGGACCCAGAGTATGGGGGAAGAATGGAGAGGCACACACTGCAAGATTCTTGAAGTCCAGTGTAAAGTTTCCACAGTCTGTGTTGATTTGGGGAGCCATGTCATCTGCTGGCGTTGGTCCACTGTGCTTCATTAGTCCAGGGTCAACCGTCTACCAGGAGATTTTGGAGCACTTCATGCTTCCTTCCGCAGACGAGCTTTATGGGGATGCTCACTTCATTTTCCAGCAGGACTTGGCACCTGCCCACACTGCCAAAAGCACCAAAACCAGGTTCAATGACCGTGGGATTACTGTGCTTGATTGGCCAGCAAACTCGCCTGACCTGAACCCCATAGAGAATCTATGGGGCATTGCCAAGAGAAAAATGACAGACATAAGACCGAACAATGCAGAAGAGCTGAAGGCCGCTATTGAAGCATCCTGGTCTTCCATAACACCTCAGCAGTTCCACAGGCTGATAGCTTCCATGCCACGCCGCATTGAGGCAGTAATTGCTGCAAAAGTGGCCCAAACCAAGTACTGAGTACATATGCATGCTTATACTTTTCAGAGGTCCAATATTGTTCTATGTACAATCCTTGTTTTATTGATTGCATGTAATATTCTAATTTTCTGAGATTGTGGATTTGGGGTTTTTATGAGCTGTAAGCCATAATAATCACAATTATGACAAATCACGGCTTGAACTATCTTGCTTTGCGTGTAATGAGTCTATCTCATATATTAGTTTCACCTTTTAAGTTGCATTACTGAAAGAAATGAACTTTTGCACGGTATTCTAATTTTTCGAGTTTCACCTGTATAAGTACCTGAAATAAATAAAGGCACCTTTTCCCTCTGTTACTGTTCTGTCTCTCCAATCTAAGCATTGAAAGTGTGATCTCTGTAACTTACAGTTGTGATGAGATAGCAATAACTCCAATTTCAGTTGGATACCACAGTCAGTGACTCAATCGAGATGATATCTTGTAGATCTTGTGAAGTTTATTCCATAAATTGAGAGAATCTTACAACAATGAACATCTGATAGGTCAAAAGATCATAATGTGCTCTGCTTCATGAGACATGAGGCTTGCTGAAATGCATTACTGGGAAAAGGGGTGGGCTATCTATACAGCATTAACTAAACCAGAGGAAAGGGAGGAACAGAAACAAAATACAGAGAACATTTAAAGACATATAACAGTCAATATGACAGTCATGTGAAACATGACAGGTACTGACTAGTATTCCAGCATTTCTCTTCTCCCTCACTCAGCTAATGTGACCCTGGTGCTGACAGAGAGGGGGCAGGGAAAGAGCAAACAAGGATGCTGTGCGGGTGCCTGACATTTACCTCATCAACCAATGACATCATTGATTGTTAGGATGTTGGTGGCTGGCTCAAATGATGCCCAAGATTGTAATGTTGCCCAATGAAAACCTATGGTTTTGTGTAACAAAAACGCAAACTTGATTTGCCAATGGCTCTGCTACCCACACTTGGGGTTCCATTAACAATTAATAGCACCGAAGTGCGTTTTTGAAATGCTGTGTGCTTTGTTGTGCGTTCTGGAAACACCAGGTGTGAATGGAGCCTAAGCACTGTTCACATTATCGTGTAGCAGGAATGAGCATTCCTGTTATGTGATTCTGACAATGTGATTTTCACGCAATTCTGCATGTCTCATTCAACTGAATGGGCTGCCATATGCTGCACGAATAAAAGGGCATAAATAAATAATAGGCATAAATAAAATTTGATAGAGATTCTAACCCTTCCTCATTCACTAATAAATGTTCTTTTCCATTTGTGTCACAACTGGAGAGATTTCCCCCTATTTCATGTTCTGTAAAAATCAAATGGAAATATATCCCCCCCCCCCCCCCCCCCCCCGCAGCACCCATAACCCTACCTTCAGGATCCTTCAGGATAGAGATTGGGGGAAGGGTCTGGGAAATGTGTCACATTTACTAACCCTTCCTTTCCTGAATGAACACAGTGAGTGATCATTACCGATTACCTGCTGTGTTCATCCATAACTGAAGCATAGTAAACTGTGTGTGTGGGGGGGGGGGGGGGGGGGGTAGGAGAGGGGGGGCCCTGTCAGGTTTGTTGTATGGGGGCCCCATGGTTTCTAACAGCAGCCCTGCCTAGGGCGCAAAATAGTCTAGCACCGGCCCTGACTGTATATGTAGCCTGACTACATTACAGTAAAAAGTTAGGAGCGTTCAATTGGGTTTTAGGTTTAATAATGCACTTTCAGTAGCAGTCATCTGTGCTCATTCCTAGCAACAAAGAAAAGCCATAGAAAAAGAAAAGGGGCCAAGGAAAAAGCGGGATAACGTGGTTTATAGACGGCAAATTCATACCTGCATTTTTAGATGTTTAACCCTGGCTCACACCGAAAGTGATTTCAAAGTGGTGTGATTTGGTCTCATTTGAAGTGTGACTTCAAAGTAACGCTGATATAGACACAGCTGCGATTTCAGTGCTATTTATCTCTGAGAGTTAAATCACACTGAAGCGGTAAAAAAGTAATGCAGAAACTATTTTTGAAATTGGGCTACTTGAAATCGCATCTATCGAGACAGTGCCATAGAAATACATTAGATGCAACTTCAGGTATCGCACCTGAAGTCGCAGCAGTGTGAACCAGGGCTTAAACTTTAATAAACATATTTAACACTGTAATAAAAAATACAATAGACATTAATGTTGGGAATTTGTTAATTAAATGAAATAACAATCCCATAATTTTATAGTGCTGATATATTACACAAGAAATAAATAGAACAATTCCACTTATCCAAGTCACCAAAGAAACTAGCACCTACCACAAACTGTACAGCCACTTTGGTGACATGCTATTTAACCTACCAGCGTTGTTTAGGTTTAGAAGAAACAGGAGCTCCTGTCGGAAAGTCATACAATCACTTACGCAAAAAACAATGTCTTTAGTCTAAGCAATATTTAATTATAGAGCAACTGAGTGACAAAATCAATGCTTATGCTGTTTAGGAAAAGATGTCTAGAGTTTTCCTTTCAGTAACATACTATAAAGTTTAATGCGGTCGGATTCAGTGCTTTTTTTTACTTGATTTTATATCCTAAAATCTCCTCCTTATGTCCCAATGTGTTTTCGGCCTCCAGTGGACTTAACTTGGCCATACACTGGTAGATTTTTGTACAAACATTCGCACAAAAACTCTTGTCAGTACATGCAATAATCCCATCAGAGACCTGACAAATGTAATTTGAAAGTAATTTGTTTTTAACATTTTGTTTCAGAATAAATGGCATTTCGCAAACAAATCCACATTCACTGTTTGAATGTTGTTCATTCAAGAAAAACTTTCTATCCTGTTCTTTCAAATTGATCAGAAATGAATGACTATTTAACCTGGTAGCCAGTTACAAGTTCTACTGGTGTATGGCCAGCTTAAGTAAGTGAATGGTGCTTGGAAACACCCTGATCTGCATTTTCAAAACTTAAATAAAGTATTTACAGGGGTGTGATGAGTTGGTCAACCAGGTGAAGAATATAAATTCTAGGGTGAAAATTAGAAACATTCAACAATAGGCCATGTCTTTAAGGTCCTTTTAAAGGATTGTAAGTATTAGACATATCTGTTTTTATTATTAACCCCCATGTATTTGCAGTGTTAGTGTTATTTTCTTGAACACTAACTGCCAGTGTATCATTGTTCAGGGACTCCCAAACCCTGTGGCTTCCATTTCCAAACTTTGCAGAATGGTTATCGTATATAACATTTAAGTCCTGCAGCTGCTTCCTAGCAGATAGTTTTTCACTTGCAGCATTGGCAATTCTCCAACAGGGGCACTAATGTATTCTTCCTCCCGAAGCAAGCGAAGAAAAGCCTCCCTGTATCTTCTGGCCAACGGAAAATGTGGGTGTTTCTGAGCCAGTTGGGTACATGTTCCTGAGGAGGCAAACATGAGAATGCAGACATTAAACACAATCAGAATTCTTAAGAAGCAGACTGCATGGAACAAAGCTGATTGAAAAGGCACTGCCCAGCTATGGCTACACATGGCCCTAAAATGAGTCACTGGAAGAAAAAGAGTTGGCTGCTGATCTTATACATCCTCACTAATGGGAAGCATATGAACTTCCCACTTCAGTCAGGCAGAAAAAATGAATTTAGCCCCACACACAGAGCAGCAGTATTGGCCCAGAGACACATAGGAAGTCATATTTTCAGCATACTTCAGAATCAGTACAGGAGATTAACTCCTGAAATAGAATGATATAATTCATTAGGAATTAGCTCACTTATAATATAGCTAATACAACCTTAAAACTTTTTTGTATACAGTGTGAGGCACTGGTGGGCAAGATTGTGGATGGTGCGTGTGTGTCACCTAGGCTTCTCACATACATGTGGTGTGTGGCTCCAGGCTGATGTGGAGAAAACAAACTTTTTATTTTCTCCCATCTTAAGTCCTGTTCTGGCTCCTGGAGCCCTGCATGGTTTACTGCTAGCAGTTGAGCCTATTCCTCTTAAATAGACACTACTCAACAAAATTAAAGGGACATTTTGAAAACACATCAGATCTCAATGGGGAAAAATATCATGCTGGATATCTATACTGATATGGACTGGGTAAGGTGTTAGGAACGTAAGGATGCCCCATCGTTTGATGGAAATGAAAATTATCAACCTACAGAGGACTGAATTCAAAGACACCCTAAAAATCAAAGTGACCTCTAAGTGGTACAAAGCACTGTGTACCATAAACAATTTGCCACTTAAAAAAAAAGAAACAAAAAACTGTTTTAACCTTTTTATTTATAATTATTTGCATCTCAGTGCTGTAATATTGTCCACTCTCTGTCAAGAGCTTCCAGCCTAAATGTAGGATGGAGTAAATATCCCTTTTAGAGTGGGGTCTGCCCTGTTTCCAGCCAGCCTGATCTGGACTTCCTCTTTTTGGCTAGGGTATATAAGTTGGTGTATTAAAAGAACTGGGCATTAAGATCTACTGTACATTAGGTGATGGTAAGATAACCATGTGCTTCCCTTTAGCGGGTCCCAGTTTGATCCTGGTACAGCAATGTCAGGGTGATGGACTGTGAAAATAAACTACATAAATTCTCAGACAATCAGGGAAATTAACCAAGTGTCTAGGACACTCTTTACAATCATGACGTGCCTATTCACAGCAAATGTCGTTGTGGTCGACAAATCCATGTACCTGTTGTAAATTTACTGACACTATAATTGGTTGAAAATCATTGCTTTGAACTAGCTTTTTGAAAGTGACAGCTGTGGAACATGCTTCTGCAATGTTTGTTGGCATGGCCACCGGCAATAACTTCCTGGGGCACATGTGATGGTATGGCAGTTGACAGGAAGACAGTTGTCACCCCATAGGAGGATGTGGTTGGGATAATGACCTTCCTTCATAGCAATCTCACTGACTAACATTTGTCTGTTTTAGCAGGGACTAGCCGAATTTTGATCAATATGTGGCCGTCCGTGTTTCACTTGATTACTTGATTGACTCCTATCAAATGGACAAATTGGAAAATTTTCTTGATTGGTGCCTGCAACTGCTGAATAGTGTATTCTGACAGCATGTCCCATTTGTGTGGATAAGGCTGATAACAACTAATCAGAATTTGGGTTTAATTTCTTTGAATTATTATAAAGACGATTCCTGACTGGCTGCTATTATCAACAACTTTATTTTCATTTTGTTTTCTATAGTTATTAACATTTACTGTGGGCGGGTGGCACGAGCTGGCTGGATCATGTGCATGTACGTCATCAAGCCTTTTCTGAGATAGGAGTGTGCATGTGCACGCGCACTGCTAACCACTCTGTCACTGGCTACAGCAGGATTTTGTCAGCAGATCCCTGCCAGTTTGTGGTTGACACCTGCTGATCGGCTGTAGCCAATCACAGCACAGAGCCCTTTGTTTACAAACACACAGGGCTCTTTACACAGATCAGCTATCTGGCAGTTTCTTCTCCCTGCAAAGAAAAGCAGGGAGAAGAAACAGCCAGATCTGTAAGTAGAAACAGCACATATTACACACATTACACTTGTTAGGCACCCTTTGATTGCCCCTTGATGTTAACCCATTCCCAATCAGTGTAATTAGTATAGTAACAGTGTACAGTATTATATCTTATCACTGTATTAATGTCACTATTGATGTCAATGTTAGTCAGTTAGTGTACCTCCCAGTCAGGGGCGGACTGACCATTTGGTGACTCGGGCACTGCCCAAGGGAACGGGGTTAGTAGGGGGCCCCATGAGATGCCCCTGGTACCTTTTTCATAGGCTTTTTTGAGTTTGGGCAAGGACACAGGGGCCCCATGATCCCCTATTGCCTGGGGGCCCCATGAGTTGTCAGTCCGCCTCTGCTCCCAGTGAAGGTCTGTTAGTGCCAAATTGCTCACCACACTATCACAGTCCCACTATAAGTCACTGATCACCGCCATTACCAGTATAGCATCATGGCTGCGGAAATCCCAGTATATAAATATAGCATCATTTGTAGATGCTATAACTTTCTCATAAACCAATTACTATATACTTACTGGGATTTTTTTTTTCAAAGACATGTAGTACAATACATTTTGGCCTGAATTTATGAAGAGATTAGGTTTTTTTATTTTTTTTTAATTGGATATGTTTTATAACCAAAAGTAGATAATATTGGGGGTTTCTTACATTATTTTCTGTATTTTTTCATTTATATAATAGAAAATTAAAAACCCAGTGGTGATCAAATACCACCAAAAGAAAACTGTATTTGTGTGAAAAAAGTATATAAATTTAATTTGGGTACAGTGTTGCATAACCAGGCAATTGCCAATTAAAGTAGTGCCGAATAGAGAGAAAATCTCTGGTCATGAAGGGGGGTAAAACCTTCATGGTCAAGTGGTTAAAGAACAATAATCATGAGAAACATTGAGGCTGTTATTGCTGACTTTTTGTTCTGAAAATGCTATTTGGCTGTGTGTGCTGACCAGCAACAGTAGGAATGCAAATAAAGACTTCTGACTTTTGCCTGATTTTCTTAAAGTGGTAGTAAAGTTCTTTTTTTCACTTGTACCTACAGGTAAGCCTAAAATAAGGCTTACCTGTAGGTACTGCAAATATCTCCTAAACGTGCACTGTTTAGGAGATATTTACTTGTAAAAGCGATGACACATGTGCTGTGAAGGTATGGCATGCCTGTGTCATTCCTTCAGAGCTGAGTGGCGTAAAATATGACTTCCGTGCACATGCGTGGGAGTGACATTATCTCGGCTCGGCCATTCAAGCTGCCAGAGCCCACGAACCCGGAAGAAGGACCCGGGGGAAGATGGAAGCTCTATCAGCGGTGACAGAGTGCCGCTGGAGGACTTCATTTTAAGGTAAGTTTCACATTATGTACTAGTTAGTGATGAATACTAACACATTATGACATTTTCTTGCAGGTTCTTAAAAAAAAAAAAAAAGTCGCGGTTTACTATCACTTTAATTTAAAAATATTTATGGGTCATTGTCTCAGATGGTATTGAAGACAATGTTAGTTCCTTTAGTCAATCAAGCCTTTATGATACCTATAGACATAAGATGACTGTCCAGCTGATAATAGCTGTATTAGAGAACAATCTTATGTCTATGGACCACACCAAACTTGTCCAGAAACCCCTCAGCTGACAGATCTCTGGAAAACAGTCTACTGTAATTGATTTTTCCTAGGGACAGCTAATATTCTCCGCAGCCTAAATCAAGCTCGAGGGCACGATCCTGTATGTTTATAGAGCATATAGAATAGAAACCACAAGGGAAATAAATGAGGAACTAAGGACTATAGGGTACCAAAGTATATGACAAAAAGTAATATAAAAATATATCAAGATTTTATTTATACAAAATGAGAAAAAAAGCCTCCAAAGGCTAACATACCCCAAAATATACATACTGTATTATATTAAAAACATACAGGAGAAAAATGTAACATACTGTGTGTACAATATGGAGGTCATGTACTGCTTCAATACTTGCAAAGAAAAACCCCAACGTGTTTTAGCTTGTAAGTGTTCCTCAGAGAGTTTTCAATTATTTATCTGAAATCAAGCTTGAAAATATATAAAGACAACACAATAACATACAGAAAAAAGCAGTGCAGACACAAGCTACAATAATCAAGGGGAATTATTGAGAATTGGAGGTATCAATGATATGTTACACCCCCTTGATTATTGTAACTTGTGTCTGAACTGTTTTTTTTTCTGTATGTTATTTTGTTATCTGTATTTATTTCAGGCTTGATTTTAGAGAAATAATTGATAACTTTTTGAAGGAAGCCTTACACGTTGAAATGCATGTACTGGAGCAAAAACATGTACATGATGTCCCATATTGTATACACAGCATGTAACATTTTTTTCCTGTATGTTTTTAATATAATATGTATATGTTGGGGTATGTTAGCCTTTGGAGGCTTTTTTTTATCATTTTGTATAAATAAAATCTTGGTATATTTTTTATACTACTTTTTGTCATATACTTTGGTACCTTAAAGTCCCTAGTTCCTCATTTTTTCCCCCTGTAGTTTCTATTCATATAGTATTTTGGGATGTGGTACCACTTGTTTATTCATGAGAGGTTAGGAAAAGATTTTAATTTCTATGTTAGTGTTACTAAACCCACAACAGTAAAATCAGTCTGTATATGCAGTAAAGCATGATTGTTATACTCAATGTGGAACCTAAGGGGTTAATCCTCTGCATTGTGTAAAAATGCTGTTTGATCCTGTCTTCTCTGATCCTCCCTGTCTTCCAGTGCTCCCCTCTTATGTCCTCATAAGACATATCATGTGGAGACACTGCACATGCTCAATTTGGTGTGTATTGCTAGAGAGGTTTTTTTTTTTTCTTGGGAGAGTGCATGTGATTAGCAGATGGCCAATCAGCACTTCCCAGACAGAGGTCAGGGGTTCTGCATCCTCCTAGAGAAAACTCCTCCTACAAGCTTTAACCAGTGCTCTGCTGGACACTAATAGATGTCAGAAGACTGATCTAACTGCTGATGAGAAAAGATATTTAGCAGTTTATATTTACTAAAATAATTGCATTTCCCTGTTCTGTGTACTGTGGGAGACCAGATAGAGTGAATGCAGGGTCCTGGGTTTAGTAACACTTTAATATAGCCATTGTTCCATGGAACAATTGTGCGACTTTCATAACTTCTGACCACTATTTCATATCTCTGGGTACCTTTAGTATGAATGGACAAAATTTGGTACATAATAGTAGATTCTGACTTGCTTCTGATGTATTGTTGACACAGATGCTAAAAAAAAACAAATTGTGCAAAACATTAACACTTCGGAAATGAACAATAATATTACTTGTCCCATTTGTTGCTTGCCATGTAGAACTTACCTTTGTTGCATTTGGAAAAAGAACAGGGATGAACCTAAAGTTCATACTTCCTTGTTTAATGAATTCCATCTGCATCTGGAATATTATAAGTAAAATTCTGAATTTGTGTACATTTTATATAAATTTATTACCAAACACATGTAACAAAATTAAATTACAACCAGAAAATAAGCTTGGTCATACCCAGCAGTCAATGCTACATGGCACACACAACACATGCTGTAATCAACTACATTTATCCAGACATACATTAACTCTTTTGTGGCCAGAGCTGTTTTTTCATTTTCATATACATGTTAAAATGCACTTTTGTTTTACATTAAATGCACATATAACCCCTAAACATTACATAATTTCTGAAAACAGAGGACCCATAGAATGAAAAAATCCTTGTTGCAATTTTTATGTTGCTTGACCTTAAAGCAATTCTTTTGGTAAAAAGTACATTCAATTATATTTTAGTTTTGAGTTCATTGATCACAGGGGAGATAGAGACACAGATGTTTCTTGGTTTTCCTACACTTTTCATCTTGAAATCAGTGATGAATGTCCTGGGCTCACAGATGACCCCAGGACCCACGTTGCAAGGGGTTGACTTGGGGAACCATACAGTTTCAAAGTGATTGGATGGCTTTAACCTTTCACTGCCAGGCCCTGCACCTTAACCTGTATTGAGTTAATAAATAACAAATATTTGTAAATTTTAAATTGCGCCTTTTTGCAAAATAGTGAAAATCAAATTACATAGTTACATAGTTAGTCTGGCTGAAAAAAGACAAAAGTCCATTCAGTTCAACCAATGTACGAAAAATATAAATAACCAAATTTCTCTAAAAATCTGGAGGTTTTAATTTTTCATTTACAGCTTTCAGAGTTTGTAAAAGACCGCCCAGACTATATATTTTCTGAAAGCACATGACCAGTAGAATAAAAAGAAGTTACTACTTATTTTTAAGGCTCTGCAATTTTTGCGCAAATGTTTACCAAAACAATATTTTTGTTACAGCTTTCAGAGTTTGTAAAAGACTCCCAAACCATATATTTTCTGAAAGCGCATGACCAATAGAACGAAAAGAAGGTGCTACTGATTCTTTTAGGCTCCACAATAGTTGCGCAAATTTATCAAAGCGCTATACACAACATAACTTACAAAATTCCTGCTAAATGCCTACTAAGGCCTCATTCAATGGGGTGTGCTAAAGTGTACACCCATAGAGAGCCATTAAGAGGGCCATGTTCACCCTCACAGGGATGCACAGTTGTTCTGTGCATCCCTGTGTAGGCAGTCCTATTTATGTCAGTTGGGACGCAGTGACTGCAAGGACAGATCTGACATCTGTATGGGTATAGGTGCATGGCCCCAAATGCAGACAGTGTGAGTTCAGGGACATGCACCTACATGGATGTCAAGTTGGGAGCAGTGGCTATGTTCAGTCAGCCACTGTGTCCCAATTAACATGGATGGGACTGCCTGCACAGGAATGCACAGAACACCTGTGTATTCCCGTGCAGCTGCTGTGTCCCAATTGACATCAATGGGACTGTCTGCATGGAAAAGCACGGAACACCTGTGCATCCTTGTGCAGCTAAACATGACCTTGCAGTAGTATGCTCCGCATGAATGAGACCTTAGGCTTTGTTTAGACTTGCGGTTGGTGGAGCGGCAAAAATGAGTGGTTTCTGCTGCCCACCAACCACCCCCTTTTAGCCACTATAGGTAGAGGACAGGGGTGTTTTACATGCTGGGGCTGTGATGCTTAGTGACCGTGGAAAAGTTGACCTGACTTGTAGTGATGTGTAGCCAAATGCTACACATTCAAATCAATGGAGAAGTGTGCAATGCATGTGGTTGTGGTGCATTTGTCTGCAAAAATGGGTTTAAAACAGGTGGTGAGGAGGCATTGCATCACTTCATCACTGACTGTCAGTAGCCTCTGGAGCATAGCCTTGGGCTTCAGAGGTAAGGGAGATTTAGACGCATGTCTAAATCTACCCTTAACCCTGGTTCACACTAGCCCGCAGGCTGGCTGTGGGTGCAGGAATCACCCGTTCCCGCAACTACCCACAGCTGAATCACGCTGCTCTTGCGAGACGAATGGAGTTGCCATTCATTCTGAATGGCACCCCCAGGCATTTCACCCCGCAACGAGGGTGTGGGAACCACAGGAAAACCGCATGGTCAAAAAGACCATGTGGTTTCCCTGCGGATGCTTTTTAATAAAGGTGCATGCACCATTTTTTTGTGTGAAACATGGGCACGGCAGCCCATTCAAATGAATAGGCTACCACACAAACACTGGCCCGGCAGGCTTGCACTAGTATGAACCTAGCCTTACTTATTATTATAACCTAGCCTTTTTTTTACAATTTTATTAATTTTTATTAACTGAATAAAATGTATTTTTTTTATTTTTTTTTTTTTACATTACAGGGGTCTAAACAGACCTCTAATGTCCCTCTTTTGAGACAGTCCCTTTCTCTGCAGCCTGAGCTGAGCTGTAGATGAATGGATAGGGGTATATGTAGATTCCTATTCAATCATAAAATGGAACATAGTACACAGTGTTTACTATGTTTAATTCACAAACTGAAACATAGTAAACACAGTTTACTATGTGTCAGTGATAATGAATACAGAAGCAATCTGTACTGATCGCTGTCTGTATTCATTCAGGAAAGGAAGGGGCTGGTAAATACATGTTTACCAGAGCCTTGCTATCCATCCTCCTGTAGCCAGCAGGAGGGTGAGGAGGGAGAGCTGGATTGCAGCACTGCATGGGGGTGCTGTGGGGAATCGGAGGGAGCAGAGGGGTTTGCACTGAAGGGGGAGTCACAGCTGTCAGCAGCTGCATTCAGCTCTCCCTCACCCTCCTGCTGGCTGCAGCCACTGATAGCTGTCAGGAAGGAGAGCGGGGGGACTGGTAAACATGTGTTTAGACTGTGGCTCCCATGCATTTGCCAGCGGGAGAGGCAGAGCAGGGAAGCTGGTAATTACATAGGGAGCCACAGAGGATCAGTGCTGGGGGTGAAGGGGGATAATCGGTGCTGGGGGACACAGATAAAGGGGTGGCTGCTTTGTATGGGGGCATTCTTTACACTGTTGGTATACATCTTCCCCAGAAATGTAATTTCCAGGCCATGGGTCAGTGCTGTTACCAGCAATTTTCCTCTTATTACCGTGCTGGGACTGATCATGTGTCTATAGCAGGATGACCCTCCTATTCTGCACCAAGGAAGTAGGGGGTGACTACAGAATGTGAACTGAATCCATGTGTGAAATTCACCAAAACTTAAAATGCATTCTTAAATGTATTCTTAAAATGTATCTAACTGATCAGGAGTGCATTGTTTTTTATCTAGCAAAATTGCAGATACATTATAAGTAACAGAAACACAGGTGGGTTGTACTCACCATTCTGTGGATGTATCGTGTGTGTAGACCATGGTCATCTCCCTGACCTACATCCTCTTCTACATCTTTCTTGTACTGTGGGCTTATTGCTATGATGATCATGACACCTATCTATCCAGGCCAGAAAAATAAAACAGATGTGGTCTGTCAAATGTAAGGCTCTAAGACAAGCTATATACATCAGTTGCACTTATTTTTGGCATTAAGGAATTATGGCACATGTAGCTGCCAGATATTTTTTCTGTATTACTTACATCACTGAGATAACGTTCCATCCACCTAATGATGTCCATCCCCCGGAGTGATCCTTCAAAAATGTCAATCTAAAATAAAAAACAAACAAGCAGCTATAAGAAATTTGTAGTGCATCTGATGTTATGAAACCCCTGTAGGTTTGTATTTTACATTGTAATATTTATTTTACATAATTTTGCCAGTAACTGTTAGAAATAAAAAATACTCTATATTGTGGTCACAGTTCATCAGTATAGAAAGTGGTTATGGTGATGTCACAATATAAACAATGAAGGCACCAAATGTGACCACAGACAGGTAATCATTTCCAGCTAGTCCATTTCAGACCTGCACTGACTAAAATTGTATTAATATAAAAAGATTATTACTTCAATGCCAATCATTATTGGGTTGGCAATGAACTTATCAAATTGCTGGGATGCAGTGGTGCTGTTTGTGCATCCATTAGTGTACAAAGTTATCTTACTCCTAGTTCTTTACCACTAGTACCATTTCAATATCTGAACTAGTCAATACTTTACAAAAGACATTTTAACAGTAAAATGACAGCATTTTGCCCATTTAGCTTTATAAAATGAGTGAAATGTGTTAAAATATTATGTGCATTATGTTCTGCATTAAAAACCTGACCCAACTTACTTCATGATCTTGATTGCATCCCAGCACTCAGACAATGCTGGTGTTATAAAACAACCCAGATTTTTTGGCGTGTTTGAGATGCAGTGTGCAAAGTGAATTTCCCTCTTCTTCTTCCCTGGATGCAAAAGGCTGTCTGTGTGTCTTTCGTATTTAGCCCTGCAATGTTTTAGTGACCAAAGTGGACATCAATACAGTTGCTCCAAGGTCCACCACATTTTATCATTTCGCTACTGAGCACAACCTCCTATATTGCACATCAGATGGTTGGACCAATTTTAGTGTTTATCACATACACAATACAAACAAGTCTGCATAATACCCTCTCCCATATGAGGGTAACAGCCATTGAACAACCACTGACTGTCACAGTGAGCTGTCAAATAGCTTTAAGGGTTTCAGACAAATTTGCTGGTAGGAGCTCTCAATAGGGAATGAAACTGTGTGTTTAAAGTTTTAGCAACAGAGGAGCTGCTATTTAAATGTTTTTTCAAAGAGTCTCCTTGGCAGACATGTGTGTTGGTATCTCCAAATCGAACATGCAGTCACCCCTTTTAATGCGATACTCTCATGTTCTTCAGCATGTCCTTCGCTGGTGCTGTAAGAGGGGTTCTCCCAAAAAATGGGGTTTCCCCTGTCAAAACACCAGCACCAACTCATCTGTCAAATGTGCCCCATGTGCAAGCGGCTTTGTACTTACAGGGGCATGCTGGAGAGACATGTTGTCTCTGTATTGTTTTCCAGTCTGAAAGCTGATCCTGGCACAGAGAGCTCCTTTTGGGCTGGCCACCTAAGAAAGTCACCTTGTTCAGCTACGCCTATTTTTTCTGAGGGTTTAATGCTAGTTAGCAGTGAGCAGCTGATGATTACAGACTGGGGCCGAGATCGGGACTGAATGTGTATGGAGTATTAGGAGGAGAAAGGACTCCTTGATCTTTACATCCTAAGTTTGAATATTGGAGTTCAAGAGTACCTGTCTTAGGATTTTGGTTTTTCCAAGAGAGAAGGAGATTGAAATACCACAGTGGTCTGATTTATCTCTTGAAGATCGTCTGTGAAGCCTGGTTTGCAAACCATGAGAGTGGGAGGCAATGCTTGCTGGTGAATGCACATCTGAGAGGGGGCACTACACACACACACATATTGTTTCACTTGTTTTGCACAAGATTCTTTCACAAGGTAATCTTTTGGATGGACTAATTGATATTATTTGGACTTTTTTTGGACTATGCACAATTATTTTCAATTATCTATATTTTTGTTGTGGAACATTTTTATTCACTTCTATATATTTTACATTTTCTTTGCACAGAATATTGATTATGATTATGAATACCTGTTAATGTGTTTTTTTTTATATAATGCTAGTTTATGCCTGTGTGCACTGGATTTTTGTAAGTGCAATATGAGCATTTTTATTTTTATACTTCATAAATAGTATGATCTGCTCTATTTGTTGTACTTGTGTTTTGCTTTGACTATTAGTTTAACATTGTAATTGAAGGCTTACTTTGTTTCACATGGTTTAAAACTTTTCAAAGATACAGTATGTCATAGATGTTATTTGACAATACAGTTGGTATCTATTAGATCTTACTGTCGCTTTGAATCCATTAGCGCAGAGAAGATTTGCTAGTTGTATAACTAGGGGTGCCGCATCCAAAGAATATGTTATGAAAAACTCGCCCTGCAAGATAGGTATATTAGTAGGTCAACAATAATGTCATCAGTATAGAGGAAACCAAAATATTACACCAGACAAGGAGATGCAGAATCCCAAGAATCACTATCATGGTAGGAAAAGCACAAACTCTCATTTGTATGTATATCATTTGTATGTATGGTCACAATCCGTTGTTGAGCAGCATTCAAACACTTGTGTATTTCCACGTTTGCAGCCAAATTAGGTTAATGCCTACTTTATAATTGTTACATTTCCCCATTCACATAGCATAACCGAATATTAAAAAAAATGCTGCTTGCCTTTTTTTAGATGTTCTATTCTGGACCATCCATGAAGAAAAAAATCCTACTAGTTTGTCTTTGTTTATGAGGGGGCTGTGTTTGCCATAATTTACCCTTTCTGCACTGTGCTAGCAGATCTTCATTGTCAGTTGCAAATAGAGGTTTAGAAGCTAGGCTTCTTGCATTGTGTATTATTGAGGACAATTAGGCATGTTGCGTACCTAACATAAACATACAGTATAGTGGAGTGTTCTCAGATATGAACGCAAAAGAGGAAATACACTTTAAGAACAAACCACTGGAACCATGGGACAGTAATTTTAGGTTGATGGCAGATTACAGCAATGCAATTTGTTAAAGAAAATAAACTACTGATCTAGAAAGAAAACAACATCCCATGCAGTCTTCAAACCACAAATTCTCGCTAGATCAAAAAATGACCTCTTTTCTAGATCAATAATTTGGGCACTGTTGGTGTAAAAGCACCTAAGTATCTTTTAAATAGAATTATGTAAAAATGTTTTTAACATACACTAACTAAAGCAGTAAGTATAATAATACAGCACTTACGTTGATCTGATGGTAAATTACTTGTTTTAAATCCTGTTCCCATTTCTGGAGGAGGACCAAAAGGTGGCATGCCCACTTGAGGTCTTTGGTAATGAGCACGCCTATCAATACCCTGAGGGTTGCAAGGAGTGGGTACTGCAAATTCCTGATTTTGACCGCTGAAAAAAATTATTATAACATATACTATATCAAAATGATTAATGCAAATATATATAAAACCTAGTAAAACAAATCAGGGGCAGAAAAGCAGGTAGTAATGTCACTGCAAGTTCTGTTATGTACATAATTATGAACTTAGAAATGTCTGTGCAAACATTCTTAAAGGTGATCTGCAACCTGCCCAATTAAGTTATGTTTACTTGCTGCTATTCATGCTGTAAAATCACTTGCAATTTCACTTAGGTCTGAAATGGGAAAGGGGGGGGGGGGACAGAAGGGGTGTGTACCCAGTGTTGGGGTGAGGGTGCGCTGGGAGACTCATCCGCTTCTCCTGCTTCTTGCTGACAGAAGTGACTGCAGGGTCACTCCTTTCAGAAGAAGCAGGGCCAAGGGCTGCTGGAGGGAGAATTGTGCTCTCTCCTCCCTCCAATAGCAGCCTGCTGTTGGCAGAAGAGAACCAGCACTGAGATGGAGAACAGACTTCAGTTTCAGTGCAGGGCAGTTTGGGAATGAGGACATACTACCCTTCTTCCTGTCCCCCCTTGTCATGGGAAATATCATATTCCCTGGATGGCAAGAAGGAGAAGCTGTCTCCATTTTCAGTGTCAAGCTTAGACTAAGGTGTGAACTGTGTGTACACAGAGGGTGAGGCGCAACTCAGTTCTAAACCTTCCTTCTCCACCTTAAAACCCCCAAGAGCCTCTTACCCTTCCCCCTCTCTTAGGACTTGTCTACACTTGCATTAGCCCTCTGAATAGTACAAATGGTTACCAGCCAAGTTGTACATACCACCAGTTTGGTTGCAGCTGTGGTTGGCACACAAGAGGATGTTGAATGGGAAAGCGAATACATGGTCCACACTGTAGTAGTCTCCCATCTGAAACAGTAACATGATAAAATGACATACTTGCTAACAGTATGTTTGCATTTTTACCAAACACAACAGAGAAAATCATTAGATTATAACAAGCAGAGATGGAGCTGCTAGCTACAAAGTGATAAATCTCTTCCAATTTTCACTTGGATATATTTGATACAATCAAGAACCCTGCAATTTCACTGGGAGAGTCTGGATCTTTCTCATGTCACTGTACCTCTAGGACCCATTCACTGTTTTATGTTTTAAAAATACTAGCAAATGTGTTCCCATTCATAAATACGTTAAATATGGCAGAATGTTTTTTTTTTGCCTTTGAGTGATTCATAACACATTGGTATGCAATACTGCCCAATCAGACAATTGTAGCACCAGCTGGTGGCTCCTTTAGGCCAACTGTCAGAACATTTCATTCAGGTGGTGGCACTGCTCATTGCTTTCTTTCCTGCTTTGATGAGTAAGGCAGGGAGGAAGAGAAGTCAAGAGGGACATTCATTGGCTGCTGCTGCTGCAGCTGCAGTCAGTGACTAATCCTGTCCCTAGCAATGGGACTGGGACCCCCACCAACCAAACAAAGATTTTAAGAGCAGCCAGGATTTGTGGAAAGTGTAGGAGTGTGCCTAGAAGTGCTGCTGTGGAGAGACCAAGGGGTGAAGGCTTGACAGGTAGGCCCAAAGTCTGGTGGGATACCTTTCACCCAATTCCATTCATGAGTTTAGCATTCCTAACTTCAATCTATGCCATCTTGAGTGTGTCAGCGGTCATTGCCAGAATGGACTGCATCTGGGAGGACTTCACTAAAGTACCATTATAATGACAAGCCTATTAGTCACATTGTGTTATGCAGCAATTGTTCCTACGATTATGCCTTAAGCGAAAACTTCTGCTAAGGGGGTACTTGAACTCTTAGTCTCCCTGTAGATTACAAATCTCTCAGTTGGGAGTGAGCACTCTAGCCAAAGGCCTAACTCCAGGTTTCATTTAACTTTAAATAGTTTGTCCACACTACAGTGCCGGATCCCCAGGGGGGAGCTGGGGTGGGCTGTACCCTCCCAGATGTTACTTGTGCCCCCCCCCCCCAGATCTCATAGAGTGCAACCACTGATCCATGAGCCAGTCTGATGCAGTCAGTTGATGTAAGGAGGCACTCTGACGGGGGAAATCCATGTAAGGGGGCACTTTGATGGGGACACCTGATGTAAGGGGGCACTCTGATGGGGACACCTGATGTAAGTGGGAACTCTGATGGGGATACTGATTTAAGGAGGAACTGTGATGGGGACACTGATGTAAGGAGGCACTGATGGGGACACTTGATGTAAGGGGGCACTCTGATGTAAAGGGGGACTCTGATTAATAGTCATGGTGTAAAGAAGAACTCTGAGGACTCCTGATGTAAAGAAGACTCTGATAGGACATCTAATATACAGGGGCACAGGTTTTGTTTAATCACCCTAATCTAATGACAATCTAATACACAATTGTGTTTCCCAGGTTAGGACACTGTGTGACACACTGGCAGTGACGCACACACACAGTGTTGACATTATGCCCCCTGATTTTTTTTTTTTTTTTACTGTACCCCCTAGATCAAATAGGCTAGATCAGGCCCTGCCACACAAACTATTTCCTTTACTAATACAGGCAGCCGCTGTCAGTGCTGCATTAGCTGTGTGTATAGTCAGCTACAGTGTGCAGCATAGTGTTCTGGGAGTAACACAGAGGCTCTGTCCCCTCCCTGGAATAAAATCAAGTCACACTATTCACAGGGAACTTTGTATTTTATAAATTAATACAAGGCTTCCTCTGCTTGGCTCAGGTGGAGAGGAGGGTGGGTGACATCAGGATCTCCACCCCAGCCAATCAAAGGAAGCCTTGTATTCATTCATTAAATGGAAAGCTTCTTGTGAATGGCTGAGCAGCACTCGGCCCCACTCAATTTTGTTGCGAGAACTGGATAGGAAGTCCCTGTTTCCTTACCCCTACACAGCATTGTAGACTGTATGTAGGTAGAACTACATACAGTTTATAGAGTGCTGACAGCTGGCGCATTTATTAGCAAAGAAAAAAGTTTGTGATCAGACCATCTTGGTCCCAACGAACTATTTAAAGTTAAATGAAGCCTGGTGTTAGGCTTTAAGAACTCCAAGGCTGTCAGGCCTGTGTGATAAATATTCACTGGCTAGTGGCTAGTTAGGGACTGGGACTCATAGATAGGTTGCCTAATACAATCAGCTTCTGTTCATTGTGCTTTTGGCTAACATTTGCCTATGGCAGTAGTTAAGACAGTTCTAATATTGTACATTTTGAGTTGACCAAAACCAGCCTGCATTGAATGTAATTACTCTTTGCTGCCTAACCAAACTTCCCCTACAGGGCTTTTATCAGTTTCATTAAAGCCCATTTCAACAGTTCCAGGAGTCTTGGAGTTACTCAGCCAGCTACAGGGCAGGTAAGGAGAATCCAAACAATCCAGCAGCTCTTCTGGAGGTAGCATTACAGAATATTATAACTAGATTTCAGATGATAATGTAACATCAAGAAATACAAATTGGGCAGAATGGTGGCTGAATATGACTTTGCTGCAGTCATGAGCTTGGTGTAGATTTTTAGATCACTTTTACAGGATTCTGAAGGTGCCTCACACTTCCCACACATGGTGGTTCCAGGGCTTGGAGAGCAGGAGGAGACCATGGAACATCCATTCCCTGATCCCCCTAAGACAAATGAACACAGAAGTAATGTGTATTATGGCACTTATGGGTTCAGAGTTGTCATTCCACGGGTTGCCAGACAGCAGCTAATCAAGCATGATCTGTGTTTGATTAACTGCAGTGGAGAGCAGAGTTTTAATACAGGCAAGGACCTGTCACCTGCTCAATGCTTGTTAGCCCCCTTGTGATAGCAATAACATTAAATGAAGAAAGAAAAAGTGATAAAAAAAAGTAACAAGTTATAAAAATTATACTAAAATAAATAAAAGTAATACAAAAAAAAAATTAAAGCTCCCCTGTTGCCGCCATACACACCCCAGCATAGGGTGCACATGTGTATGTAAACATAAACTGCGTCACAAATGAGGTATCACTGCAGACATCAAAGAAGGAGCCATTCTAGGGCCCTTATTCATGGTTAACTCTAAACCTATAACATTTGTAAAGTGTTAACCTTGGAGAATGTTGGTTAGCATAGTTTTTTATGCATGTGCAATTTTAAGGCTTGAAATGTTTGGTGTTTATTTGCTTGATGCAACCCTATATTTTTATTTTACCAAAAATTGATTATCATATTATGTTTGCACTACAATTAAAATGAGTGTATTTTTTCCTGAAAATATGCATTTAATAAACAGCTGTGCAAATATTGTGCGACATGTGTAACTGCAACAAGAAGTTTGATAAAATATGGTCATCTTGGGTGGAAGCTAGAAACCTCACGGTCTAATACTCTGGCTAAAGATCACTATTCTTTTGTTGATTTTTTTCTATCTGTCCTGTGATGCCCCTCCAGGGAGCATATAGCTGATAGCCCATCCTTGCCTGTGCGCCCCATTCTTGTCTCTTCCACCCTCCCTCCTGCCTGCCCTTCCTCTCCTCCTGTTCTTCTCCTGTCTATGCCTCCTCTTTCCTTTCCCCTCTCTCCCCCCCCCCCTTTTTTTTTTTCTATCTCCTTTCCCTCTGTGAGGTTGGAATAAAAAAGATGTTGGATACAGGGGCAGACTGACTATTCGAGCAATTGGGCACTGCTCGAGGGCCCAGGGTCAGTGGGGGCCCCATTAAATGTTCCTGGTACCTTTTTTATAGGCTTTTTTGGGTGTGCTTTGAGTGTGGGCAAGGACACAGGGGCCCCATGATCCCGTGTTGCTCGGGGGCCCCATGTGTTGTCAGTCCGCCCCTGGTTGGATAGCATCCTTGATGTATAGCCTCAGGTTGAAATATGTTGTTTGAAATCTCTGCATGGCCTGTGTGCTTTGTGCAACTTCTGTACCATTTCTTGTCTGTGTTGATCTGTGGTTGAAGCTCATAACCCTTTTTGTATTGCTATTGTGATTCATATGTACATTGATGTAATGTTTCAATAAACATTCCTTCTGTTAAAAAAAATATTGTGCAACATAAAAAAAATGCAACTGCTACTATTGTGTTTTGCAGGGTCTCTGCTTTCATAACATATATAATTGTGTGAGGGTTTAAAGTTATTTGTAGCACAAAAATGCATATTTTTGTGTGTGCGAAAAATTAAAAAATTACCCTGCTAGACAAGTGGTAACCCTTTAAGTATAACTATACGCAAAACTATTTTTCTAGTTTTGGACAGAGAGGAGATGGATTAGAACACTTGTCAGTTTTTACTGCTGCCTGTGTCTTTTTGTCCTGTTTACCATTATTATTGAAAGTAAAAGTAAAATAACATCCCAAGTTTTGGGCTGTTCCCCAGAAAAGTAATAGAGGGGAAATTTTACAATGGGGACACTAGTTCTGGTGACATGCCAAAAAATTCCCTTAATGTGCAGGGATTTCTTCTCACTTCCTGTTTGGCTATGAGACAGGAAGTGAAGTGAAAACTCCGCAATGAGACACAAATGGTGGAAAAAAATCTGACGGGTTATAACCCTCTCTTACTCTATCCAAAATTAAAAATTGCCTATAGTTCTACCTTAAAAATCTGTTCTTATCTTTTTAATATCAAAATATGGTAGCCTAAGTGATCCCACACTGTGATGTACTAACTATTGTTCCATACATTTGTCCAGTGATAGAACATGCATGGGCTTCTCAGTGCTCTGTAGTATATTAAATTGCCTTTTGTAAATGTTATAAAACTAAAAAAAATGTTCAAAAGCTCCACAGCCATTTCTATAAACTCTACACATCCTTCACTTAAAACCTGTGTTCACATCCTCCAGCATAAACATCTGGGTGACTATATTTTATTAAACACATGAAGAAATAGCAGTCTGTAGCATTTTGCTGTCTGTGGTCCTAAGAAGTGAGAAAATTGTCATTGAGGAGAATCTCACTGGCTACTAGAGATCCTTACACAGTAAGAAGTCACATGAGAAGGAAAGGTAAACCTCTAGGTCACAACTGTAGATACTCTAGCTTAAGCTTCTGCATGGCCAGTTTTGGGCACAAAACATTGATGAAGTAGGCAGGGCTGCAGTTAGGAACCATGGGGCCCCATACAAACATCCTGACAGGGCCCCCCTCTCCTAAAAAAAAGGAAGGGGCTAGTAAATGTGACACGTTTCCCAGACCATTCCCCCAATCTTTTATCCTTAAGAATCCTGAAGGAAGGGTCAGGGCCTGATATAGCCTATCTGATCTGGGGGTGCAGTAAAAAAAAGTCAGGGGCCATTATGTCAATAGTGTGACAGAGATGCATAGAACCCTTATTCCCTGTTCACTCGGCATTCTTCTTTAGCACGGAGTCACAACCCGAAAGTAACAGCTGACAGTCTGACAGATAGTGCAGAGGCGGAAAGGGGTGAATAGAGAGCACTAGTATGTATTAAGATAATTAAAAAGAAACTTTGCCCCTTATATCAGGTTGTAGCAAGCGTACACACAGAGATGGATGCGGTTCAACCATTTTGCTCCAACCCTCCATTTTCTTAGGAATCTCCATGTTGTCCCTCATTCTCCCCCCTTCCTCTCTGTTCAGCCACAGTGACATCTGGTTGTGTGTGTGTGTTGGCAGTGTCACAGGCAGGACAGAGCACAGCAGGAAGCCCAGAGCTATAAAACACCTCTCTGAATGAGGTGCCTGGTTGTCTGAGAGAGCTGTGCCATATAGCACCTCCTAAGAGATAATGCAAGCCTTCCTAGGAGTTCAAGGCATTCCAGAGAAGCAGGAAACCAGATAACACTTTTAAAATCCATTTTCCCCTATGTCTCATATCTTGGAATATGAGAAACTTACATAAAAACTAGGCATATCTTCAGATTGGCCACGAGGAGACAGTTTGGTAGGTCACACTCCCTGACTGGAATACATAGGAAAGCAGAAAATTACATCTCTGGAACCTTTCAAATATGTATTTCATATCTACCCACTCCTCAGAGGCATATGCATAATAATCTACCCGCGGGTGGAATGTCACTTGTGCATAAGGAAAGTTATGAGCAAAAATATGAACTATAAGAGATTTTGGCTCTAGTTTAAGTCCACGCCCAGACGATCCCTCCCTAAACTGGGTATTGGTCCTTGACTTGAGAGACACCTCCTGCCGGGGAACTACAAAATGGGATGTCAGACCTAAGAGAAGGAAGTTGAAGAATTCTCCCGTTTAACATCAGAACCAACTTGGGGGACCGCCCTTTCGATCTGAAACTTGATCTGCTAACCCAGGACTTTGGCAAGTACTTTAACCCTCTAACTTCTATCTGTTATCTCTTTGCTGTGCTGTTGCTCTCTGTATATTTATATATATATTCGTTACATCTTTTTTTTTGTAAATATTTTTATTGCATCCCTTTGCCCTTTTAGTAATAAATCTTACCTTCTGAAAGTGTTGAACTGTTTTTATAGCTCTTTATTGCAATTTACAAATTCCTGTCTCTAAAAGAGCGCTACTCTGTTTGTTTAACCCTCTGTATAACCGGCCTGCGGTGACCGTGTTATACAGAAGATTATCTCAACCATTATAGTGTTATAGCTAATATCGCAGGGTTTCCTCTTTCTCTGTACAAAAAGGAGGTGGTGGCAGTGTGAAGGGTTAATTGCGTAATTAACCTGACCCAGTAACAATCGCTCCCAGGCTGCCGGAACATAGATTGTGGTCCAATTAGCTGGAAATTCGTTGTGCTGGGATGCAGCTGAGCGTGGCATTGTTACTCACGTGACATCGCGGTGTTAGATTGGCCAGTCCTTCGGTCACGAGTTTGGTGAGAAGGTCAGGGGTCTGATGCCGTGTTCCTCACATATTGGTGGCAGCGATCGTGGGATCGTCACATATTGGTGGCAGTGATCATGGGATCGTCACACAGGTGTCCCTATCAGAGTCCCTCCTTACATCAGGAATCCTCCTCAGAGTTTCCTCTTTACATCAACATACCTATAAGAGTCCCCCCTTACATTAGATGTCTTCATCAGAGTGCACCTTACATTAATTGCTTCAACAGAGTGCCCCCTTTCATCAGCTATCCCTATCAGAGCACCCACTTACATTAATTGCCCCTCTTAGACTGCTCCTTACATCAATTGCTTCAACAGAGTGCTTCCTTATATCAACTGTCCCAATCAGAGTTCCCCCTTACATCAACTGTCCTGAGTTTCCAAATGGTCAGCAGTCCGTCCCTGCTCTCAAGAGATCTGGGGGGGCACAACTAAAATCTGGGGGTGCATAGCCCACCTCAGCACCCCCCTAGATCTGAGGCCTGGGAAGGGTTATAGGTGCTGCGGGGGGGGGGGGGGGGGGCAATTACTGGAACTGATCCCCTGTATGACTCTGTCTCTGCAGCGGCTGAAAGCCAGCTTTCAGCTGCTGCAGAGAGAGCCATATAGGGGATTGGTTACAGCAATTGCCCCTCCACTGTGCCAATCGCCCTCCCTGCCTATATCTGATTCACCTAGCTGCCTGAGCCCCCCTACTAGCCTTGGCCCAGTACAGGAGGACTGGTGGTACCCCCTTATACACAGCCCTGGAATTAGGGTTCTCAGGTATGGAAGGGAGAATATGATGTAATATAGGGTCAGTGAAACAGCCTATATCATAATTCTGTTTAATTACGAAGAAAAATACTAGAAGCGAAAATAAGTTACATTCATAATAGCTGTGCTTGGTTGACTATAGTTAATAAATTATTTTAAGGCATTTGAGGGGGATATACTTTAGTTTTCCTCTATACAGCATCAACACTTACCTTGGTGCATTTGTCTAAACAAAGAATGGTTCATTTGCTCTTCAGGAGTGAGATATGACCTAAGCGTTCGTGGTCCTTCTAAGGATTCTGTGTCTGATATATCTGGAATACTGGATGCATAGCCAGTGTCGTCGCTTTTAAGGTACGGAAGCTGGCGCTGGGGAATATAACTGGGAGATGGGCTCAACCCTCCTTCAGCTCCTCTGAAGCTGAGCTCTGAATTGTATCTTAAGTGTCGTGGATCCATAACTGGATACATAGACTCATCATCTTCCTCTGGTATACTCCTGTTCATCTTAACTCTGTGTTCAAAGAAATAGGAATAATATTAGGTATAACCAAGACTCAGGTTAGGTCGAAATGCATTGTGGACTTAAAACAGTACTAAACTCTCTCAATCAACATTAACTATTTTTAATCCTTATGCTGCTAGCCATGGTAAGTAGATAGGAAGGTACAGTGCCTTGAAAAGTATTCATACCCCTTAAAATTTTCCACATTTTGTCATGTTTCAACCAAAATTGTAAATGTATTTTATTCGGATTTTATGTGATAGACCAACACAAAGTGGCACATAATTGTGAAGTGGAAGGAAAATAATAAATGGTTTTCAAAATTTTTTACAAATATCTGATATGTGTGGCATGCATTTATATTCATCCCCCTGTACTCTGATACCCCTAGCTAAAATCTAGTGGAACCAATTGCCTTCTGAAGTTGCCTAATTAGTAAATAGAGTGCACCTGTGTGTAATTTAATCTCAGTATAAATATAGCTGTTCTATGAAGCCCTCAGAGGTTTGTTAGAGTACATTAGTGAACAAATGGCATCATGAAGGCCAAAGAACACACCAGACAGGTCAGGGCTAAAGTTGTGGAGAAGTTTAAAGCCGGGTTAGGTTATAAAAAAATCCCATGCTTTGAACATCTTATGGAATACTGTTCAATCCATCATCTGAAAATGGAAAGCATATGGCACAACTGAAAACGTACCAAGACATGGCCATCCACCTAAACTAACAGGCCAGGCAAGGACAGCATTAATCACAGAAGCAGCCAAGAGGCACATGGTAACTCTGGAGGAGCTGCAGAGATCCACAGCTCAGGTGGGAGAATCTGTCCACAGGACAACTATTAGTCGTGCACTCAACAAATCTGACCTTTATGGAAGAGTGGCAAGAAGAAAGCCATTGTTGAAAGAAAGCCATAAGAAGTCCCGTTTTGCAGTTTTTGAGAAGCCATGTGGGGGACACAGCAAACATGTGGAAAAAGGTGCTCTGGTCAGATGAGACCAAAATGTAACTTTTTGGCCCAAAAGCAAAACGCTCTGTGTGGCAGAAAACTAACACTGCACATCCCCCTGAGCACACCATCCCCACTGTGAAACAGGTGGTGGCAGCATCATGTTGTGGGGATGCTTTTCTTCAGCGGGAACAGGGAAGCTGATCACAGTTGATGGGAAGATGGATGGAGTCAAATACAGGGCAATCTTAGAAGAAAATCTGTTAGAGTCTGCAAAAGACTTGTGACTGAGGTGGAGGTTCACCTTCCAGCAGGACAACTACCCTAAACATACAGCCAGAGCTACAATGGAATGGTTCAGATCAAAGCATATTCATGTGTTAGAATGGCCCAGTCAAAGTCCAGACCTAAATCCAATTGAGAATCTGTGGCATGACTTGAAAATTCACAGATGCTCTCCATCCAATCTGACAGAGCTTGAGCTATTTTGCAAAGAAGAATGGGCAAAAATGTCACTCTCTAGATGTGCAAAGCTGGTAGAGACATCCCCAAAAAAGATTGCAGTTGTAATTGCAGCAAAAGGTGGTTCTGCAAAGTATGGTAGTATGGGGGGTTGAACACAAATGCACACCACACTTTTCAGATATTTATTGGTAAAATGTTTGAAAACCATTTATCATTTTCCTTTCACTTCACAATTATGTGCCACTTTGTGCTGGTCTATCACATAAAATCCCAATAAAATTATATATACATTTTTGATTGTACCATGACAAAATGTGAAAAATTTCAAGGGGTATGAATACTTTTTCAAGGCACTATATATTATATTTACCTGTTTTAAACTTTTTTTTTACATTTCTTCAGTTGTTTCCTGGTGGTTGGCCTTGGCCAAAATTATATCATACATCCCAGGAGTCTTCATGGACAGTTTTTAAATCTGAAGGAAGGGAGGAGGGTATTTCTCAGCTAAGCACACCCTCATACCTGCATGCCTGAGCTATGGGAAAGCAGATTGCTAGAAGTAAATTCTACATAAATCATCTGCCCTTACCCAAGATGATCATGGCTAGAAATGCTAGGGAGGTGTTTTATCAAAATGATTTTTCAACAAAATAGAGCATGGAGACATGGAAGTTTGCTTTGAATATTGAAAATGAATTAAATAGCCTTTTCAGTTTGTGGTGCTCAGATTAAATTCCACTTTAACATGGTAAACATATCACAGTGGCTGCAATTGTTTTTTTTTAATAGTGCACTTATTGTTGTGACCTGCCTTTATGGATTACATAAAAATAGAAGTTTTACCTGAATATGCTTAGGATATGCTGATTGAGCGCATGAATCACACATTCCTACTGGAGTTGGCTTGGCATGCAAACAGAAAAAGGTAGGCTGTGGTGTTGTCTGCATGTGAGCTTTGTCTTTTGGACTTGTAGGAAACTGAAAGGCAGATTTGCAGATCAGCAGGATTGTGGTGGGCTGGTCTCTTTAGATCTAGCAGGTTTCTCTACATATGTTTTCAACCAACCATATTTAAACAGCTAATATACTAGTCCTGTTTTCAGTAACCTACTTAAATGACTGCACATATTTATTTTATGTATAATTGCCTGAGCACTAATAGAACTAGTAGAAGTGAATCTGTCCAAGTTCGATTTACTCGGAGTTGAGAATCCTGTTAGATGTTTGGCAATGTGGTGGCTTATATTGGAATCTATGTGTGGGCGAATCTTGAAAAAACTCTGATAAAAACTCTCATAAACTTTATCTGGTAGATATTGTAAATAAGAAGGGCATGGGAAACCATGTACTGCCACGTGGGATTTCTGTCCGTGTAAAAAAAAAACTTACAGTGGCAAGAGGGCCTTTTTGTGTCTTTGAGGTTGATATGGAAAATACACATATCCTGTCAATTACAGGTTTGGGGAATGTCTTAAAGCTGTATTTGGTGTTATGGAATAGCAGTATTTTTTTTTTCTTTGCTTACAGAAAGCATTAGGTCCCCAGTTCACTTTATTTGAGTCAAATCAATTGTAAAATCCTTTTCTCTGGTAGTTTTAGAAAACTAATGGGAATTCATTAAGTGGTATTCAGCCTACGTTGATGGACAGAAGTACCAGCTGCAACAAATCTAAATGCGGAATGTGAAGCCACAGAATGGTGTGGCAAAAACCCTCAAATATAGCTCAAATGTAAAATGACCAATGAGAAAGCATTTTCAAGATGGCCAATGAAGATGTGAAACATGGGAGCTCTATTGCTTGCCTATAATTACTCCTGACACTCATCCATCTGTAATGAACCCTCAGCCCAAAAAGCTGTTCCTGAGCCATCTAGACAACTGGAGGTTGTAAGGCAAAATACTCTCTCAGCAGCAGCCACTCGGGAATCTCTGACCAATCCAACGCAGTGGTGATAAAGGCTTCACTCTCCACTTTTAACATGGTGACTCAAATAGACCCACAGGAACGCCCTAAGCTCACTAAGACCTGCAAAGCCTCATTAACGCTTCAATGCATCAAGGTCAACCACCTTTAGTTGTACATTTGGGTAATTCCTAAAGGTGTCGACAAGATTGAAGTAGGATCACCACTGTGGAAGGCCATATCAGCAGTGTAAATTCTGCTACTGGGTCTATTCCCTGATTCTTCCTTCTCCAGCTTCTTTGCATTAGAGAGGACACACCACATGTCTACCCTTGGTTGCCCAGTATAACATGGACAAACTTAATATTATGGGTTTCTTCAGCATTAAACCTTCTTCCAAATGAAATAGACCTCAACTTCTTTCCTGGGAAACACTGAATTTATCTAGGTGGGTTAAATTCACTTCTAAACTGATATCTGGCGATGGAAACACCTGAGCCAAACAGCATTTATTTGCCACCTACCTCTTATTGAATATTCTTTAGAATCAACCTTACCTACATCTCCTTGTCTGTTTTCCCTTATGTCAGTGCTATAACCATCCTCTCATGAGGCATTTCAGATCATGCCCCACACCACTGGTTTACAAATGACCAATCAGCAGATCTGGACATAGTGTGGGATGCTTCCAAGGCCTTTATTGGAGGTGACCACATTCTATGCAACAGCAAGGATAGAAAGTAATCCTAGACTGCTCCTTCACAAACAGGAAGAAAAAGGGTGAAGGCATACTCTGCCACTAAGGACCCTGACACATAACTTTGATTTGCAAGCTGCTTTTAAAAGGAATAAACTCCTGCATACCACCTTTACATAAAAATCTGCTACACCAGAGTATACTTGAGCAGGAGAATAAAAATGGGAAACTTTTGGCAATCTTCTATTAAAGCTTTCCTAAAAATGTATGATTCTAGGGATAACCCACACCCAACCCAAACTTATCAATACACACTTTGCCATTTCTATCAAAAATATATGCATCCAAGACCACCTTCACCTCTACAGACCTGGACACTTTCCTTAAGGGTGTAGAGCTACCTCACATGACCCATTCCCATCTTTACCCTATATCAGAATTTTACTACGCTATCCTCATTATATATCCTCATTATAACCCTAAGCTCAGATGGACCTTCCACAGTATAATAAGTGTGTCAACTTTCTAGCTATTTTTTTTTTTAGCAATTTACACTGCAGATGCTAGGACTTACTAAGTATGCCACTTTTTCTTTTATAAAAGCTTTCCTTTCAACCAGAATATGCTGATCCCCTGAGTGTTGGCCCCACTTTCCATTTTCAGGTTGGCTCCTTTCCCTTGCAGGGTCCTATGTAGCCCTGCAGTAGCCACTCTTATATACATGCTCTTGGGGAGTACTACGGGTTGTGTGGGAGCAAGCAATTTTCTTGCATTAGCAACAAGTCTCAAAGATGGGATACACATGCATGCTGGCTCTATGCATGGTTGGATTTGTAGTCCTGATAAATGTGATGTGTTCAATGGAATTTACATTATCAGTGCATGCTCCCTGGACATTCGGGGAAGCTACACATGGGAATGGAATGATGGTAGGTGCATGATGTTAACAAAGTAAGTTTTTCTGAACTAAGCATTATGTAATTGATTA